CAGCCTAATCTAACCAACATGAGCTCCTTGGCCATGGGGACTCAGTGGTCACATGACCCAGAGCCCTTCTTCACTCTTTTGGCACTGCTCTGCAGTGTGGAACTGGGAGAAATCTGGAAATTTCTAGATCCTATCAGAGCAGCTTGACTCCAGGTTTCAAGTCTAGTACCCAGTGAGCCAACTGGTTTGCCAGACAGGAATCCAGCCATCAGTTTGTTGGATATTAACTCTAAGTGTTTTAGGCTTCATCAGTGAATTGCCCCTTTTCTCCCCCCAGAGAAGCTTACCGTGATCTTGCTAGCACCCTTAATTTAGTTAAAGTTTATCTTTAACCTTTCTTTGTATTTTACCTCTCATACTCACAGTTCCTCAAGTCAGTCTTGACTACTTATAAGTCAAAACTTTCTAGTAATTCTGAACTTTGTATTTGTACTGCTTTGTATTTGAATTGCTGTATATTTGTACCTGATTTTCTATTTCCCCTATAGCCTTTTTTATATTTTACTATAGGGCAATGTTCTTTGGTTAAACACAGAAAGAGCATTCATGCTATGCTCCTAATATTTGGGAATTGATTGACTGAAATAAAAAAATACTCCTGGGCATAATTACTTGGTAATAATTACTTGATTCAGGCTTCAGTTGCTATAGTTCCTAACAACCCAAAAGGGAGGTCCTGCAAGTGGCAAAGCTACCCCAGAATTGAAATAGGGCATTCTAGAAAGCATAAATGCATGGTCTTGATGCAAGTTGTTACAACTTAAGAGACAGGACCCCCATGGGTAGGACAAGCTGAACTGACCTGAGGACTTAAGTCTGGGATTTACAGTAAAAGCCTTTCTTGCTCTCAAAGCCCAGAGAACTAAGTGTTGGGATCTTTGTTTCTTACTGTGTTCACTGAAACAATAGTAAGTATTGATGACATATACTACTAGAGGGAAAGATAAAAGCAATGTAGATGTCCCTGGGAGACAGAGTGTCTCCTTGACTTAATCTCCCCAAGAGAATTTCCTCTGCCAAATGTTTATCTATGTAAATGATCAATCACACCTATGTCCTTACCTCCACCCCCCTTCAGATATTCTATAAGTATGCTAGCAGCTCTGCATTAAATGGGCCATTTTCACCATCAGCCCATGGTCCCCCATCTCCCTGTCTCTCAGTTTCTCTGTTGGGGGGGGGGGCTCTGGGCTCTGTTTGTCTGTTGTGTCTTTTGGGGGGGACCACACCCAGTGTTGCTCAGGGCTGACTCTTGGCTCTGCACTCAGGAATCACTTTTGTTGAAGTTGCAGCACCCACCTTTTACATTGTGAACTCACAATAATTCCCAATTCCAGTGGCAAGGTAGCAGTTGGGAAGCAGGGAGGAGGGTGTCAGGTCAGCCTCCGAGAGGCCCCAGAGCTGGAGATGACCTCTGCATGGGCTTTTGGTTTGCTGCGACATACTGGCATCTTTGGGGTGTGATCCTAAAGACGTGTAGAAACCTTACATTCCTGCCTTTTTAAAAGAGTACTGTAAGGAATTAAAGGTAAGAGTGAGAATATATTAGAACCCACAAAGACAATACAAAGATCAATGAAACCAAGGAAAAAAGAGCTGGTTCTCGGAAAAGAACAAGACTCACTACAAAAGGACAGAAATGCATAATAAATTGAATGAGAAGTTAAAGAGAGGAGCCACAGCGATAGTATAGTGGGTAGGACATTTGCCTTGTACACGGCTAACCTAGTTCAATCCCCGGCACCCCATATGGTCCCCCAAACCTGCCAGGAACGATTCCTGAGTGCAGAGCCAAGAGTCACCCTCGAGCAACACTGGGTGTGCCCCCCCCCAAACAAAGACAAAAGGAAGTTAAAAGAGAATCACAATAGAAATGACAGAAGTGCTGAGGATCAAGAGGACTGAACCCAGGGCACATGTGCACTTGTTGTGCCACTGAGTCACAGCCAGTCCTTAGAAACTTTTTTGTGTGTATGTGGCTTTGGGGCAACATTTGTTGGCACTTAGTGGCTTGGCACTTCCACCTCTGTGCCTGGGGGTGCTCCTCACACTGCTTGGGGGAACCAAGTGCTGGGAATTGAACCCAGGCTTCCAACAAGCAAACCATACGCCCAGCCTCATGTTATTTCCCCGGCATAATATGAATATGACAAATATCTTATGCCTATAAATATCATATGTCTATAAATTGGAAAATCTGGAAGAAATGGAACAGATTCTTAGAATCACACAAGTTTCCAAGACTAAATTCAGGAAACAAAAAGCCAGAACAGACCAATTACAAGCAAGGATGTTGAGGGAAGATTAATTTCAGGGGCCTGAGAGATAGAATAGTGAGTATGGTTCTTGCCTTGTACACTTCTGACATAAATTTAATCCTAGGCACTCACTATGGTCCCCCAAGCCTTCCAGGAGTGATCCCTGCACACAAAGCCAGGAGTAAGCCTTGAGCACAGCTCATTATGGCCTCAAAACAAAAGAAACAAAATATTAACTTCATTGGTGAGTTCTATTCAATTATCAAAAATAATCCAATATAGGGTTGGAGAGATGGTACAGTGGGTACAGTGTTTGTCTTGCACACGGCCAACTGCGGACATCCCATATGCTCCCCTGAGCCCTGCTAAGAGTGATTCTAGAGTAACCTCTGAGTACTGCTGGGTGTACACCACCCCCCAAAGATGATCTAATATCTTTCCTTTTCAAAGTCTTCCCAAAAGTTAAAGAAAAGGAAATGCTTCCAACCAACATTACTCTGACATCCAATGGGTGCGAGTGGATTATTCAGCTATCTAAACGGTGGGAGAAAGGACATCTTTCCATTTGCAACAACAAGACAGAACTACAGGATTATGCTAAGCAGGATACTTCCACAGGACAAAGACAAACACAAGATTTCACTGCCATGTGGAATATAAAGAAGCAAAGCCAAGGCACAGACAAAACCAAATCAAAAGAATTCCTTGAATTTTGGCTGTAGCACTGAGGTGACCACAGCAGGACAGGAGCCGTGAAGCAAAGAATGGTGGAGTCCCAAAGGCCACGGTCAGGGGGTCATTCGGTCCCTGGGGTATGCTTAGTGTGGTAACATACATTTTGAAGTGGTATGCATCAATCTTCTTAAACATAAACTTAAACTCAAACAAATAAAGTGTTTAAAACCATCCGCAGAAGCAAGATGTGTTCGCACGAACTCATCATTCCCAAGAATTAAAACAGGGGACCTTACAGTGGGTTAGGTCTTACTTTGCCTGCTGATGACCTGGGTTCAATCCCCAGCACTACATAGGGTCCCCTGGTCTCCGCCAGGAGTAATTCTTGAGCAAAGTGCCAGCAGTAAGCCCCGAGCACTGCCAAGTGTGTCCCCAAAACAAAAAACAAGAAGGGACCAGAGACAGTACAGGAGGTAATGCAATGCATCCCCAAATTATGTATGGTCCCCTGAGTACTGCCAGGGGCCACTCCTGAGTATCATGCCTGGAAGCACCCCTAAGAACAGTTGGGGTGTGTGCAAAGAAACAGAAAAGAACTAAAACAAGAAGGAAAAAGAATCTCCTGTGATCAGTCTATTTCCCTTTTTTCCTTCTTTGGCTCACTATCTTATTCTCCTCTTTTCTAAGCAGTTTCTTTTTGTAGTATTTTACTGACAGTGAGTTGCAGAATAAGCTATTTTATCTTTTGCTTTTGCTCCTTTCAGTGCCAAGGATCAAACCCAGGGCTTCACACATGTAAAGCAAGTACCATCTTACCCTTTCTCCTCAGTACTTGAGTTCAAAATTCATGTCTCTAAAGAAATGAAGGAATATAATATAATATAATAATATATAATAATGAATATCATAATATTCTTTCTTTTCTTTCTTTCTTTCTTTCATTCTTTCTTTTTTTTTTCTTTTTGGGTCACACCCAGCAATGCACAGGGTTACTCCTGGCTCTGTACTCAGGAATTACTTATGGCGGTGCTCAGGGGACCATATGGGATGCTTGGAATCGAACCCAGGTCGGCCACATGCAAGGCAAATGCCCTACCTGCTATGCTATCTATCACTCCATCCCCCATAATATTATTCTTAAGTATGAGAAAAAACTGTAGCACTGTAGCACTGTCCTCCCAATGTTCACTGATTTTCTCGAGTGGGCACCAGTAATGTCTCCATCGTGAGACTTATTGTTACTGGTTTTGGCATACCAAATGTGCCATGGGGAGCTTGCTAGGCTCTGCTGTACCAAACAATATATAAAAATTATATGCCATATATAAATTATAATTATATAATATATAAATTACAATGATATATGAGACAAAACAAAGGACAAAAAAATTCCAAGACATATGAAAAAAAATCCCAAATCAACTACTTTCTTTGAAAAACAAAACAACAGTGTGTGAGAATATTTATTGAGTACTAATTTCCCTTGTATGGACATTCAGTTAGCAATAAGAAGGAAGAGCATCAAGGCAGGAGATAGTACAGCAGGTAAGGCATTTGCCTTGCATACAGCTGACCCTGGTTCCATCCCTGGAACCACATGGGATCCCCTGGACACAGCCAGGAATGATCCCTGAGCACAGAGCCAGAAAGCTACCTCAAATTAAAATGAACACATGAAATGTCTGCTATGAATTCTTTATATAATTTAATATCTCATACAGGTATTAACATTGTTAATATACATCAAAGCATATCATTAAAATAAATAGATCTCCAAAAGAGGTATCAACACACAAACTGCATCTGAAAAACTTGCAGAATCATCTACTTTGTGACACACACCAGTGGCTTAAGCTGATGTCAAGGAGACAGTGCCACCAACAGTAAAAATTACCATTAAGGAGAGACAAACGGGGCATTATCCTCCAGGAGCAAGATCTCCTGGCTGCAGGACCACACAAGCTTCTGCCTGGAAGTAGAGTGGACCCACGCCCCAGAGCAAGGCCGGCCAGTTCCCCTCCGCAGTGGCAGGTCTGCCCCGTCCGGGGCCTTGCAGTCCCTCCCTGGTCAGGCGGAGAAATTCTGAAAGACATCGGCTGCCTCCAGCCAGTTCTGGAAGCAGGCCAGCCCCCGCTCCCGGATCTGCTTGCGGCCCTTGTCAGTGATGACCTCCCCGCTCTGCTTCACCACCACCAGCTTGGGGATGGTCGTAATCTTGTACCTGGTCCTCAGTTCACTGTGGGAAGAAGAGGGCAGGATCAGCTCAGACTACTCAGGGACTGGGCCCCCCCTGTGCTTCCATGGCAGGAATCAAGGACCAGCACACGGCCGGTTCCCCACTTCTCACGTGGCGACCACCCAGTCAAAAGCCAGAGCTGACCCGAACTGTCTCCAAGAAGTGTGACCCACCCCACAGCTGTGCTTCTCTTGACCGGTGAGCACTCCCACTGCACCTGGCTACTTCCCTTCCACCAATGAAAGTGGCTTCATATGGCAGGTGACCTGCCCATTCTGGACAGTGCCAGCATAAGCCCCCAAATAACCCAGGACATTATATAAATATATATATATATTCATATATATATATTCATATAACTCTATGATGAGTGGTTGAAAAATATCAGTGACATATGCAGTCCATGCCTCAGTATGGGGAGGTGTGGTGGGGTGACTCCAAGAACCCCAAAGATGCCATAATTTGGAGGCCACACCCAGAGGTCCTGGGACATTAGGATCTCGTGCTCTCTAAACTATACAATACAGTGAATCTAATGAAGCCTACTATCTGCAAAGCTTGGACCCATCTCCCTGGGCCCAGGTGACAACATTTGAGGGTGCCCAATGGGACAGAATTTGCATATGACTTACATCTGTGGTCTTCGGTTTTGGTTTATAGCCACACCAGTGATATTCAGGGTTTACTCCCTGTTCTCTGCTCTGGGATAATTCCTGGTGGGGTTCAGGAGACCACATGCAGCGCTGGAGATAGAACCGGGTCGGCCGCATGTAAGGCAAGTGGTTTAATCCCTATACTTTCACTCTCTGGCCCTTGCGTATGAGCACAGATTCCAATATATATCAAATCATCTCTAGACTACTCAGAAGAGCCAATATAAAGTACATGCTATGCAAACAGTCGATGTGTTCATTGTCTAGGGACTAATGGCTAGAGAAAAGGTCTTTACATGAATACATGCAGCCCTCAGGGACCTGAGTCCACAACGCAAATTTTCCATCCTTAACTGAAAAACCCACAGACAGAGAAACTTCTAAAAGGCAACACCCACTGGAACACCCAAAGTTAAAATTCCATGACAAATGCAATGATCCACTGATTAACAGTCTATATAAAACCCTTCGAGTGAGCCTGAGCGTCACTTTCCACACAGTTCCTGTCTTTGGAAAGGCAGCAGAGCAGAATCCCTGCGCCTGCAAGCCTGCAGTCTCAGTACAGCCATCTCTGGGATTACAGCCCCTGAGACAGGACAGTAAATAGCAAATCTAATCCCCCTCCTGCCTCCAGGGCCTTGCTCAATTAATCCGATTTCTTTCCTCTGTCTCACTCAAGAACTGCCCCTTCTGTTACCAAACCCCAAATTCTGGCTGTTTCTCCCCAGCACTCAGGTCAAAGACAAAACCCGAACTCAACAGCTGGAGCACAGGACTGCAGCAATAGCACGGGAGGAAGGCATTTGCCTTGCACGCGGTCAATCGGGGTTCAAACCCCGGCATCCCATAGGGTCCCCCAAGCACTGCCAGGAGTGATCCCTGAGTACAGAGCCAGGATTAATCCCTGAACATCACTGGGTGTGATCCAAAAAGAGGAAAAAAAACCCAACTGGAGCACACCATTGGCTGCAGAAGGCCTATACTGCGGACCTGGGACCACATCCCCACACACTGCCAAAACCACTGAGCCAGAAAAATCCCCTGAGCTCTGTGGGCCAAAGCCCCTCCAGCAGAGAAAACTACATGGTACCTGTACCAGGTGAAGAGAGAGAACATGCCTGTGTTCAAAAGATAGGACTTTTGTGTTCTCAATGATGAAAAGTAAAATTGCAAATGATCCACAGTAAACAGACCGAGCCGGAAGTGGTAGTACAGTGGGTAGGGTACTTGCCTTGCACGTGGCCAACCAGAGTTCAATCCCTGGCACCCCATATGTCCCCTGTGACCTCCAGGAGTGATTGCAGAGTGAGTGCAGTCAGGAGTAAGCTGAGCACTACTAGTGTGATCCAAACAAAAAACAAAAACAAAAAGACATAGTGAACAGGCTATATCCCCAGACCATTGGTCCAGGCACCTTGAGCAGCACAACTGAGAGTGAAGTTCTCACACTAGCAACAGCAGCACTGAGGACTCTCAGAAACGCATCCCCCTCTCAGACAGGAAACGCTGACCCCCTCAGATGAAAGTGAGGATTCCACCCCTACCCCTCAAAATTCATTCTTTCTTTGTGTGTCTCCCTATGAAAGAGAGGTCTCAGTTTACCCTAGCCAGTTGTTGTGAGCAGTCCTGTTTTTTTTGGACTTCCTGAAAATTCCTGGGCTTTTTCCTAATAAACAGGGAGTTGACAATTGTCCATCAAAAAATTCTACCCCAGAGCTTGACTTACAGGGAGGCGGCTAAGACAATGAACAATAACTGAGGCAGATGGACAAACAAGAAGCTATTGGATCCTTGTATTCTCTGTAACACTTGCCCAGTTTTCATCTAGAGACAGGAAAACCCTTAACTTTAACTTCCCCGCGTTCTCTGTAACACAAAAGACCCGGTTTTCCTATTAAAAAAAAACCATAAAGAGAGCCATAGTTAGCTTAGCCCTATACTTATTCCTTCCCATTTGGTGAGCTCCTTTTCTTTTCTATTTTCCAATAAACTTTCTACTTTGCAACTCTGAGTCTGACCATCTTTATTACTTAAATAAAAATACTGAAGGGCTGGAGCGATAGATAGCACAGCGGCAGGGCATTTGCCTTGCATGCGGCCAACATGGCCGACCTGAGTTCGATTCCTCTGCCCCTCTCAGAGAGCCCGGCAAGCTACCGAGAGTATCTCCCCCGCACGGCAGAGCCTGGCAAGCTCCCTGTGACGTATTCGATATGCCAAACACAGTAACAACAAAGTCTCCAATGGAGACGTTACTGGGCCTGCTCGAGCAAAAAATACTGAAAAGGGCTGGAGCAATACTGCAACAGTGCACACAGCTGACCCGTGTTTGATCCCCGGCATCCCATATGGCACCCAGCAGCAAGTACGACACCACTGGTTCCAGCAACGTCAGTAAACATCTGCTTCTCAAGGGGATTGGACTGATGGTACAGCAGGTAGGATGTTTGCCTTGCACGCAGTGGACCCCGGTTCAATAACTGACATCCCACATGGTCCCCCAAGCCCTCCAGCTATGATTCCTCAGCGAAGAAGCAGCACTAAGTCCCGAGCACTGCGTGTGGACCCCAAACACAATTTTTTTTCCTTCCTTTTCGGATCACACCCAGGCAATTCTCAGGGGTTAGGCAATGCTCAGGGGACCACACGGGATGCCAGGAATCGAACCCAGGTCGGCCACGTGCAAGGCAAACGTCCTACCCGCTGTGCTATCGCTCCGGCCCCGACAAACACAATTTCATCTGCCTTTCTGGGCAACCGGGGTGGTCAAGTTCAGATCTAGTGGGGGTGGGGCATTGGAGGTGGGGGCTCGTCGTCCTAGACACTAAGCAGGAGGGAGCCAGGGTGGGCCACCCAGACTGCAGCTCAGAGTGGGATTCTGGGCTGGAGTCACGGGGGTTCTCTGGAAATGCAGATTCCCGGAATCCGGGAGCAGTGATGGAGCTGGGTGGGACTGGGTGGGGGCTCACGGAGTTAGGACTCTGGATGCTTCCCCAGTGCCAACTGCTCCAAGGCCGCCCGGGTGCAGAATCCCAGGCCGGCCGTGCCCGAGCGGCCCGGGTGGAGGTCGCGGCGGCGGGGCTGCGGGGCACTCACTGCCGGTAAGGGTCCTGGAAGGGCAGCGCCAGCCAGGCGCCGTGCAGCTCGCGCATGAAGTCCAGCATCTCCTGCGCGCTGCCGTCGGCCGACACGAACACCACCTCGAAGGGCGCGGGCGGCCGCCCGTCGCCCACCAGCTCCGTGTAGAAGTCGCAGAGCAGCGGCGTGAAGTCGCGGGACGGCGCGCAGCGGCCCGCCGCGAAGTACAGCGCCACCACCTTGTTCTGCAGCGCCGCCTCCGCCTCCACGGCCGCGCCGTCGCGGGTCACCAGGTGCCTCCCGCCCAGCACGTCCACCATGGCCGGTTGCCGACACCGGCGGGGCAGCCGGGCCGTCTCCCGGCTCCCGGCCGCCGCTGGGGACCCGCTGCAGAGCCCGCCGACGGGGAACGGGGAGCGCGCGAGCCGCGGCGCCCGGGGAAGCGCAGGAGGCGCCGGGCGCGAGCCGAGGGCTCCAGCCGCGCCGCCACCGCCCACCCCCGCCTGACACGCCCGCCGCCAGCCTCTCGGGGCTCGGCCGCGCCCACGTCACCCGCACGCCCCTGCCACGCCTTCGCCGTGCCCGCGGCCCTGCGCCTCTCTCGCCTCCGCCGCGCCCACGTGCCCGGCACGCCCCCGGCATGCCCCACCCCTTAGCCTCCAGCCTGCGCAACGCCCCGGCCTCTAGCACACCCCCTCCCCGGCGCCCCTCCCGCCTCCGCCACGCCCACAGGCCTGCCGCGCCCACGCCGACACCGAAGCCCACTTAGCTTAGCGGCTGACCTGCCACGCCCCTCTCCGCCTCCGACCCGCCCACACTGACACCTGAGCCCGCTTCCCACAGCGTCTGAACCGCCACGCCCCCGCCTCGCCCCTCTCCGCCTCCGCCCCGCCCACAGACCTGCGGCGCCCATGCCGATACCTAAGCCCACTTCCCTTAGCGCCTGACCTGCCACGCCCCCGCCACGCCCCTCTCTGGCTCGGTTACGCCCACACGAGGCCACGCCCCCGCTGCGCTCCGCCTTCCCCGGCACCCTCGCCCCTTCCCACTCCCTGCACTCTGTTGCACTCTCCGGCCAGAGCCGCCTGCTCTCCGCTCGCACCGCACGCTTCTTCTCGGGCTGCGCACCGACACCCCGCGACCCATCCAGCCTCCCGCAAACCTCGTCCAACTGCAGGGCCTGCCCTGCGCTCCGCCCGCCGAATCTAGTCCTGGAGTCCCCAACGTAGCGTGGCCGCTGCCCTTGAACCCCGAATCCTCACTAGCAGTAGTTGGAAGGGGACCAGACAGACGGTAAGGGCGGTTCGTCCTGGAGCAGGCAAAGGCGGGGAGGCTCCCCGAACTCCAGGGCTTCGGCAAGGAGTGTCACAGGGGTGCCGGCGGTGAGGAACTCGGGCGGAGCATAGAATCTAAGGATTTTACAGACCAAAAGCCCCTCAGTGCTCAAGGTAAGTAATACTCTATTGGGCAAGGTCGGAGGCAGGGGGGTGGGGGGGGGGGGGAGGGTGTCCCCGGCGACGCTCAGGCTCTGCCCTCACATCACCCCTGGTGGTGCTTGAATGACCAAGTGATCCTGGTCCCTTATGCTTTTTTATTATTATTATTTATTATTATTATTAAGTTCACAATGAATGCAACCAAGTTCAAGATTGCAAACATGTCAGTGACAGGCTTCCACCCAACTCACATCTTCCTGAGCATCGGCCAGCTCTCTGCCTCCTGGAGGTATTCTAGGGGAGCCCAGGGAATCTATGTGTGGGGAAACCAGTAGACTATGCAGGTAACAGAGAAAGAAAAGCACCATACATCTGATCAGGCTGGCTTGCTTGCATGCTTTCCTTCCTTCCTTCTTTCTTTTCTCTTCCTTCCTTCCTTCCTTCCTTCCTTCCTCCCTCCCTCCCTCCCTCCCTCTCTTTCTTTCTTTCTTTCTTTCTTCTTCTTCGCTTCTATTTTTTTAAGAAATTTATTTTATTCACTTTTTGGGTTACACCTGGCAATACTCAGGGGTTACTCCTGGCTCTGCATTCAGAAATTTTTGCTGGCAGGGCTCAGGGGACCCCCATATGGGATGCCAGGGATCAAACCCAGATCAGCCATGTGCAAGGCAAACACCCTCCCCACTATACTCCAGCCCCTTCATTATTATTTTTTAAAGAACCTTGATTTACAAAGTCACTGATAGCTGAATTTTAGATATATAATATCTCAACATCAAGTCCACTACACGTCAGCTCCCCTCCACCAGGGTCCCCATACTCCGTCCCCCACCTGCCACCTTGACAGGCTCAGGGAAGAGTTCAGTGGGTACAGCTGAGATCTCATTTTTTCAGTGCTGCTGAGTGTGTGCTTTGGAGGAAGCCTTGACCCCCGATCCCCATTACTTCCCCTTCTCATCTTCTTCCTTCCTTCCTTGTTTTCTGTCCTCCACCCTAAGCTCCGGTATTCAGGTTGACCTGGGCATCCTCTTTAGTATTTTAATCACAGGTCTTTGGGACTTGAGTGTGCTAGCGTGTGCCCGCCCAGCCCCCAGCTTCCTTTACATGAATGGAAAACACTTGGGTTGGTACAGAGCGCAGGGCTAAAGGAAATTTTGTCGCAAGGCTGATGGTTAGGAACATGATAGATAAGGAGGACAAAAAGAAAAGGAAAGAAAGGAAAAAGAAAAATGTGAGAGGAGCTGTGAAGTTCCCTGACCTGTTGAAACTCAGAAATCGGGGAGCTGGCATGATAGAATAGCAGTAAAACGCTTGCCTAGATGGCTGACCCGGGTTCTACCCCCAGCATCCCATGTTGCCCCCTGAGCACTTCTAGAAATGATTCCTGAATGCAGAGCCAGGAGTAATCCTTTTTTGGGAGCCTGTGCTAGTTAATATTAAGAAAGTTCTTGTCCGGGGGACGTGTTGTCTAAAGGCTCATTTATTAGAAACCATTGTCTTGGGGTTACACAATCTAAGGGCTGACTTTCTTATTTTTCTAGCAGGCTCTTTCTCTTGGCAGAACATGTTGCTAAGGTGTATTAATATATAACCAAGGAAAATATCATGGAAACTATGTAATTATAGAAAAACATCATTGATACCTAGAAACCAAGTCCATTCTAAACTTATATATCCTGAACATTCCTGTATATTTTTCCAATGCGTGTTTTCTTCTAGAGACCTATAAAAGTCTGTTGCTTGTTCAATAAAGACACTGCATGGGCAGTGCTTGTTCAGCCCTCCTTAACCCATTGCCCTTCTCCCTCCACCTCAGTGACCCTGTTCGACTTAGCCATGCAGGACACGGTAACCCTTGAACATCACCGGTAACCCTTAAACATCACCGGGTGTGGCCCCAAAACCAAATAAATAAATAAACCCTCAGAAATCAATTGAATGGAATGTAGCTCAACTCTTAAAATCTTTAAGGCTGTGTTTTGATCTGTTGGACTGTTTTCCCATTTTATAATAAGAGTGAGTCAAGTAGAGAACAGTGTATGTCTGTGTGTATACGTGTGTGTGTGTGTGTGTGTGTATACACGTGTGTGTGTGTGCATATTTCTGAGAACATTTGGGGTGGGGGAGGGCCATCTGCACCAGAGGGGTTGGTCTCTCCCCAGAGACAGCGGGTTTGAGGTTTCAGTGGTGCAAGGGTGGGGGGCATCAAGGGCTGCAGTGATTGGTCTTTGGGGGTCCATGTGGTGCCTGAAATCTATGGCATGCATGGTAGACACCTTAACCTTTGAACTGTCTCCAATCACAAGCAGAGAACATTCTTTTGGAGGGTGGGGGAGGGTTGGACTAGGACTTATTCCTAGCTCTGTGTTCAGGGATCACACCTGACAGTGCTCAGGGTACCATATAGGGTGCACTCACCAAGCATTATCCTCTGGCCAAAATACTCTTGTTTTTGTTTGGGGGTTACACCCAGCAATGCTCAGGGCTTACTCCTAACTCAGGGATCACTCCTAGCAGCCCCTACGTGGTACCAGGGGTTGAACCCGGTTTGCCTGTGTATAAGGCAAATGCCTACCTATTGATTGGGCCCTGAAGCCAGGACATTCTTTGAAGGGACGGTGCCACCCTCCTCCCCGAGTGATAAGTATAATACATGGCTGTTATGAGACTTAATTCCTCACGTTTGTGTCTTTCCACAGTGTCAGCTTCATTAAAACATTCCTCACAGAAAACCTTTCAGCTCCGCCTAGGGCCCTTGTCCCTGTTTTTCAGTCCGAGCGCAAGTTTGCAGCTAATTGGCTAAGATGCAGGCTCTCAATCAAAGGGAGTGAATCCACCTCAGAGTCAACACTGCATTCATCAATAAACTCAGGTTCTTGTGGAGTGCACACACAAAATCAACAGCACATTCAGAAGGAAAGTAAAAATCAATTAAAACAGCAAAAGGTTAAGGCCCTGCCAAGTAACGAAGCTCTGGTATTTAGTCAAGTGGATAGTCTGGAAGTGCTGATTGTGGTCTGGGTGTTTCCAGCACATTCCTTGCCAGGCGCACATGAGCTATGAGGCCTCTTGCTCGGGGTTCAGTAAGACAGTACCGCAGTGGAGAAGACTGGTGGTGGTTTGGGGGTGCAGATAATCAGAGACATGGCCGGGTCTTCTCTGAGAGGTGGTCCTGAAGAGGCCCACCTAGGTTATGTCTTTTTCTTTTCTGGTTTTTGAGCCATACCCAGCAGTGATCAGGGCTCACTCCTGGCTCTGTGCTCAGGAATCATCTCTGGCCTCCTGAATGCAAAGTAGGTGCTCAGCCCACTGTGCTCTCTCCAGCCCTGTGTGATCCTTTGAAATATTTTCAGGCTCTCTGCTCCTTGTTGCTTCTCCTGCTTACCTCACTAAATGTGAAGGTTTTTAATTTAATCCAGGGGTTGCCATAGCAACTGTCCACATCATGGTGCCAGGTGGGGGCTTTCCCCAAAGCAACACAAAGAGGAATACTGAGAAATAATAAACTGAGTCAAGGTCTTTCTCCAGACACCCAGACACACTGAGCACGTTGCTAATTAGCTGAGTCTTTGCAAGTAGCGAGAATGGTTTAGCAGTACAGGACTCCCCTGTATTCATGGCCACAGCATCTTTGGATTCAACTGTAGCTATGCTCTTGGAGGAAAAGTTTATGGAGAGGGGCTATCTCCTGGGAAGGAGTACAGTGGGTAAGGTTCCTGCCTTGTATGCAGCTGACCTGGGTTCGAGCCCCAGCATCCCATACAGTCCCTCAGCACCGCCAGGAGTGATTCCTGAGCGCAGAGCCAGAAGTAAGCCCTGAGCATCGCTGAATGTGGCCTCCCAAAACAAACAAATGCTTATGGAGCGAACCCGCAACACTTTAG